CGATGTCAGTGGCGTTCTTGTTGTCAGTTTCTGTCCAGATTGCCTGAATGAATGTCTGGAGGTGTAGGCACCTCGGAATGATTGTGTTAAGCTAGCACTAAGTCCCTCCCCCATCCACCTTTATTCTTTTCTTTACAATAAGGCTTTCAAATAAGTCATGGTTGTACGGCAGTGAAGCATTGGTGTTGAGCACTGATGTCATGCTGTCGTTGATGATGATGATGTAGTACCCGAACTGATATTTACGTAATTCTATTTACCAGTGGCCTTTATGCTTGCTCCTATATCCCTTCGCACTCCCGAAATGTCTTGGCGGTTGCCGGTCTTCTGCCGGACGGCTACACCATGGATGTATTTTGCTTTGGTATCCACAATGAAAACGAAACTCTCCTGGGGTAGAAATAGTCAGGTTCTCTTCGACTCCTTTGCAGTATGAATATGAAAGGTTGACTTCGTAGGTGTCTGCGGTCATCAAGGTGATGACCTTCTGGTATGTTTCTGTGCAGCGAGGTTCGTGAGGAATACCGATCGGTGAGATGTAGGGAGGTATTTGCTGTTGATGGAAATCTTAGTGGATAGGTGGCGTTGTTTTTGAGCTTGGAAACCGGGTTTAGCGTGAAGTATGAAAGGTTGACTTCGTAGGTGTCTGCGTGAACGCCTTCACACCAACGTGCCCAAAACTAACCACTACGCAGCGATGATATCACGTCGACTGGTGACGAAAAGTTTTCAATCAAATTACTGAGCTCTGTGAACAGAACACCAGCCAGGACATCCAGGTACTTCACTACTGCTTGATTGGAAAGCGTGTCCCAAAACCAATCACCGTTCTTGAAACTCGCTTCTCCATTGTTCTAGGAACCTTGGCAGTAGGCGAGTGATCGGTACTGGAGTGTGCCTTTCTTTATAATACCAGGTAGCAGGCTTGTCGAACCCACGTTTCTCAGAATAGAAAACCAACTCACTGTTTACAAAGCCTGACCGTCTATACTCACAGGGCCGTGTGAGTATCATTTGTAATTGAATTCGTTTAACATCTTGTTTGCCTTGAGTGTTCCCATTCATTTCTCGTCAGTAACCACAACCGTAGCGTTTAAGTGAAGTATTATTGGACAAACCAGAAAATATTTTATGGGCATGTAAGTGGACAGAAATTTTTATCTACTGGACACATTGTGAATCTTTCGACTCCCTGGGAGCTTATCACCCAAACTCCTACAAGACTTGGGGACACCTCTGAAGCCTAATGGAGGATATTTTTATCATCTTGATTTACTCCATAATAACAGTAAGTCGTTCTCGGTGTCCGATGGTCACGCGCTTGCGATTTCGACTCGTTTGGGATACCTTAAAAACTATCGTAAGAATGTCTAAAGCTTCCGCAGGAAGTTTGGCTGGTAAACTGATTGATCCGGACATTCGTCCTCAGAGTAACTTTTTTCCTGTGCCACCGCAAGCACTTCAGTCATAACACCCTGCGAGCAATGCTAACGAGCCGCGATTTCCTTCCTGATTTAGCCGTTTCGAGGCGCGGTTGATCTTGATGCACATTTTAGTCCCAATTCGTTCGTCATCATACTGAATGCGGAAGGTGATTGGATCTCGGTTTTTGAGGCAGTGTGTCAATCCAACTGTGTGACTATACGGACGGAGTTGATTGAGTACTTCTGGTGGACCTGAGCAAGAAGAACAACTATGTCATTCAGGGATTTTGGATCGGTGATCGACATTCCTTCTCGTATCCAATCCGCGGTACCTCCTGGCAGCATAATGCCCGGTTCAATCATCTACGAGTCACTGATGATCCCGTCATACCCGTGAGATCATGTCAGATCGCCTTCGCCACGCGATCAGTGTCTTGTAGCCCCGCGGTAGAATCCCAAACAGCCTAATTAACTCTGTGGTGGGAGCCTGTGATTCCTCTATGTTTTACATCGCTTCCAGATTCACGGAGTGAAATGAAGCATCTAGAGATTGGTTGCTGCGAGGGTTCCACCTTCTTCTGAGGTCGTTGTTCAGTCGACCTGTGGTATTGGCCATTTTTGTGTTGTATGAAGAGGGAAGAAACTGTTGGTCTATCGAAAAAGTTCTCTGTTTGTATTGGGAATAGTTTTACTGGTTGCAGTGCGCAAAATGAGTTGAATGGTTAGTCCATAGGCCTGTTACAGGAAGCAAAATAGCTTCGATACTACTATCACATCAACTGCATTGTCTATCCAGTTGCGATTCCAGTTGTTGTTTGCAGACCTTTATTTGGAGCCTGTTCGGTGTTCGTCTGTCCTCGTCCGGGGTAAATAACTGATGGAGTTGTATAGTCCCAAGTTCCTCTAGTCGGAAATTCATGCATCACAACTCTGATGCGTACCTCCTCTGCATTAACATCATCCAGCAAAAGAGCGTGTCGTCCATATCTATGACGGCTTGTGTTGGGCAGACTTACACCTGTGCAGACGGTCGTAAGAGTGATGTTGAACTTTTTTAGGATCAGTCTTTCTGGGACCCAAACATTCCTTATACGAGTTCGGCCTTTCTCGACTGTCCACAACATCTTGCAAAGACGTGTTTTCTGGAATTGATTCCCCGACCCGTTTATTCGTCACCCCAGCTACTGGTCGGTAGAGGATGCTTCGCTTACCGGGAACGGTGTCACATGAGATCAATAGTAACCGATAGGATGTACCGTGAAATTTTTCTGGAACATGTCACAGGCTGTTTCTCAGCACCATGTGGCTTCTGTCCTGTAGCCGTCGCACAATCAATTAAACCAGCGGAAACAAATCAGCAGTTGCAAAATAAAACCCATAAGGTGTTCTGTCTTAATTGAACGTTGTGCCTCCGAATCGAGGCCAATGGAATGCGTTCTGGTTACTTCATCAAAACCAGGACAGAAAAGGAACACCGTTGATGTAAATGGATAACATGGAGACGGAAGAATGCGGGGCTGTACTATTCTTTGCTTTTTTTCATCCAAAGATTGTAACTAGAACCGAGGGCAAAATAGTTGGAGATGGGTACAAGCATTGTCGAACATGCCCGGTCGTTCCTTTTTGGTTACGACATAACTTTTTTGCTCTTCATAGCTTCGCTCGCATACGGCACCAATCGTACCTCTTTAATATCTGGCACAGTGACGCTTTTGCATCGTTGTTTGATGCATGAACTCGAGATATCTCAGTAATTAGGGTGCGAACTTGCAGGCTGGAACGTCCGTGGTTTGTAACCAACCTCTGTGTCTCGATTGCTCCTGTCTAGGTATGGGCAACCCGGTAGTATCTCAGCCGCCGTGCTTCCTTCGAGTAGCATGGCAACTATGCACTGAAAGGGCGTTACAGCTGAATTCCTTTGTACTGAAAGGGCGTTACAGCTGAATTCCTTTCTTCCGGCTTTGTGCTTGTGGTTCGATAATAGACTTAATTACCCCATGACAATAAAATGCTCATTGTTATCTGTGGAAGCTGTCTGGACGATGATAAATCCGAGAAATCAAGGCTCTTCTCAATCCCTAAAATTAATTTCGGTAAGTCAACGCGTCTTAATCCGTAGCATTTACTCAAGACGAGATCATCCGTTTAGTGGGAAAGAATGTCTCACTGGTACACACTAATACTACTAGCAGTAATAATAGAATAACTATAAAAAGCTTAAGGATAACAGAATGAGGTACTCTGCTTTTCGGCAATATCCGGTGCGCTGCGAATGCCAGCATAGTTATATTGCCCAGTAGCTGCTGTGCCTGTATCGCAGTATACAAATTCTGTGGTTTAAAATGGTACTTAAAGCTGGTGTATCAGGCGTCACTAAGTGCGTCACTGGTGTTATGTGGAAAGAGATTTGGTGGATGCCAAAACGAGAATCTCAAGTGAAAAACACCTTCAAGCTCATTTTTTTCAATCACACCTTGTATTCTCGGGAGCCTCACTCCTTTGTTTCGATTTTTCTTTTGTTGTTAGTTCACCATCCAGTTGTGGGGCAATTTGGAATGGTTTCTGTGCTTTGTAAGTTATAAAAAAGCGCAATTTTCGCTTCATACGGTCACTTAAAAATCCCAGGTTACGCTGTTCGGACCCTCTCAGTATGCCCAGTCTTTCCTATTATACATCAAGCTGTTTCGATAAATCTCAAGTTGTGGAGAATGTTCGCTCAACATGAGGTATTTGTGGATTGATCTCACGAAATTCTAGCCTGTTTAACCATACGCGTCATTTCGCGATTATCCTTTCAGGCACCGGAATCAGAAATCCTGGCTGCTATGTTATGCTGGTCCGAACAACGAATCCGGCACGCACAGGACAAAGGCACGTCTGATGGTTCAAGATTAAGCGGTAGGTTTCATCTTTTTCTGCACTTATGTTCGGTTGGTTATATCTTGCAAAATGGAAGCTATCATTCTTACGTGAAGGCCAGAAACGAGGTTGGTTATGCAATAATTCACACTACCCCGTTTTCAATGACCGTTCCTCAGCGGTGTGCGATCAATACCACCATATAACCACAAGAGTGCGTTGATCAATAACAGCCCCCTTCTAAATGCATTGTGGGCATTTGATGCTGCAGCTACTCTTATGCATGTTTTGAGTTTTCCGAGTTGAATAGCATGTCGAATATTTTTCAAGAATTCTTTGGATGTGATTTTAGTAATCTTTTCAACATTCCACATATGTGCAGATGATAGATGGATGCTGATATGTGCGGGCATTCTGTATTCGCTTCTCGACAGGAGTAACCATTAGCACGCGAAGCGGGCTTATAAAAGTGATGTGTAGATCACAAATTTGTTCAACCAAGTGCAAGCGTCTGTGGTGCCACCTTATGGGGCTCCGGACCAGTGAATCAATCGATCTACACGACCACTACAGAAATTGGGCCGTCAGTCGATCTGTGGGGACGAACCAGTCACATTACTCAAGCGTTGGTCTGCGTAGGCGTGCAAACTCAGCTGCATACAGCGTTTGCTGGTATCACGGTCAACTCGCATGTCATGTCTGGGGTTATAATCCAGGCACACACAAGTGTATGCACTGCTGATGAGCTTCACCGAGAGTAAATTAGAGTCCATTGTTTCCTATCTGTGGTGTGGACTGATCAGAATAATTGCGCCAGACGGCCCAACAGGACCGAATACTTCAAACAACAGTTATCTTGGTCACCAGCTGCCACTCATCTAGAGCCCACAGTTGACGTAGAGCCCTGAACGGTGAACGTGGACCTCCCTACGGCGTCGCAGGTTTATGACTGCGAGCGTTCTCTCAAGCATCACCGAGATTTTGGCCCGGTTGACCTTCCATCCGCATTGCTCAACGATGGGGATGAAATCCTCAGTTAGCGCTTGTTCGATCTGTTCGCCTGCATTTGGGAAAAGAAGACTGTTCCAGACAACTGGGGAGAGTCGGTAATAGTACCCATTTTCATAAAAGGGACTCGTGGCGAGTGTGGTAACCACGCGGCAATCAGCTTGACCCCTGTTGTGACGATACTGTTGGTGTCACTTGTGCTTCGTCGCCTTATGGTTGCTCGTGAAACAGTGATTCGAGGGCAGCAACCATGATTCCGACCTATTAAGCGTTGCGTTGACCAAATTTTCACACTCCATCAGGTACCAGAACAACGTACAAACGACCCACAATTTTATTACTCTTAGTATTCAGAGTGGCGGAAGAAGATAGGTGGTTAACCCTTGATCTGGCAGGGTGCATGGAAGAAATTACGAAGCGCTTGGGTGCTACTCGCTGTCCAGGATGGGGACCCTGTGATCCCAACTGCGCCTAGTGGGAGACGCTGGAAGATATGGCTGCTAGTCGATGTCACTAGCCTTCTTGTTGTTGGTTTCTATCCAGCCCGCTGAATTCGGGGTTCTCATGTGGAGGGGACTTCAAGTATTCGGAGTGAAACGGTGTCACCATACTTGGTGTTATGAACGAACAGCTGAGATCTTGATTTTTAGTCCGATTCATCTGGCACTCGTTTTTATTTTGTTGTTGTCTTGCTGTTGTTGTTGCCTACTGGCCTCCTTGGTCTTTTCTGTTGGTGGTGGCAAGAGTGTGGTTGGGGCTTGTGTTGGCGGTGCGATACTCGTTTCGCTCTTTTGAGGCTTACCACTGCAGTTGCACACGGCGAATTTAGCAACTTGGTACATAAAAAAATGACTGTACCTTGCTTACATGTCACAATAGTATTGCGCGTGTTCCCACGACAGTGCCCTGACCCAATATGTGCATCTGTTGATAACAGAGATTTTGTGGTTAACAAATTTTCACCACTTGTTATATGAACAAGTGAGGGACGAACACATGAAATTCAGGGTAGAGACGAAACACACTGAAGCACGCCTGTTTGTCGTATCCTACAGGTGTTCTGTCTGCCAGCTGCTTCGTTCTGTCCGGACTAATGGACGAAGTTAATTGGATTGTCCTTGTTTGTTCATGCATGCTGGCTGTCCGCACTCTGATTCTGATTGTTTCAGCTATTTCCACTGTACCATCTCCGAAGCATTGGTCGGATATGATGGGAACATCGAATTAGTGATTAGTACGCCACATGGTCCTAAGAAGAAGGAACTTTCCCGTGACAGACGAATTATTCACTCCTCATAGGTTATACTGGTTAGGACATGTACTCCGCATGCCAGAAGTCCGTCTACCTCGCAGAGTTTTTTCGCCCAGCCCTGTGCTGAGTGGAAGCGACCAAGAGGTGGGCAGTGTATGACCTGGCAACGTGGTGCGAAAACACTAACCTGTAAACTTAGCAAATCGACAACTGCTGCCTCCTTGGATGGGGACTCGACGACTCGACTCACTACTGATAAATGACGCTGGCAGAAATGACCTAATCGCTCAGTGAGTGGTGTTCGCACATCATTCCATTTCGATGCATAGCTACCCAGTTTCCGAAATAACCAAACAGGCCATCGCCCCTAAGGCTTCCAGGTGATCGAAACTGTAGTAGCTGGAACCAGTATGCCTATGGTACACGGTCTATAGCTGATGAAAAGAAACTGAACCGCGTCCGGACTGTTTTAGAAAAATAGGGCGCAACTCCTTACAGCACTTTGGAGAATCCGATAATGATTACAAACAGGTGGAATTATGGATGGGCGCTTTTATTGCCATCAAACGGTACACCCACGGCCAACAGCTCGTGCAGCGGCAGATCGGCTTGGTTGCAATTGTCATCGTCAGCTACAAATTGTATGGAATGGTAAATGGCATAGCTGTCCCGTTGTTTCTACCATATCTTGTGTAACGTTTTTTAAAATATCAAGCAGTTTCTGGGACAACTTCCGCTTTGAATGTTAAAGTCACGAGTTTCGCACTTCTTATTGTAAAGTGGTAGGGGCGACCATCCATCTATTGCCTTTTATTCCCGCTAGCGTTTATACCATTTGTTACGGGGTCAAAGTGAAAATACGAAAAAAATCGACCGTTGAGTGATCCTTCAGGCATTCATCCGCATTCTCTCAATCTACCCCCCTCAAAACTGTCACAAGTCCTGCATCGAGACGTATAGTTTTTAAAATGTATGAAATTCTTAGACGACATTTCCATCCGCCATAGCAGGTTTTGTGTACCTGCCTCACTTGTGGCATAGGCGTGACATCAGCTTATGTATGAAGGGTCGAGCTTACAATATTGTGATTCGCTCCTTATTATTATACCGGTCAGAAACCTGGACGCTACGCGCTGAGGACGTCAAAAGATTTTCACTGTTTGACCATCGATGTCTTTGGAGTATTGCCCGAGTCTGGTGGGAACACCGGATCAGCAATGCTGACGGATGGGTTTCCGAAGATATAACTCGCCCACGACAGATGAACTGATCACACTGCATAGGTTGCGTTGGCTTGGCCACGTGTTCCGTATGCCAGTCGACCAACTTCCTCGTACAAGCGCCGAAGGGTCAAAGAGCTAGGGGAGGTCAGACAATGACTTGGCGTCAAAGTGTGTAGGCCATTACTAGCAAACTCAGTCGCACTGGTCATTGCCATCTCCCTGGATGGGGACCCCGAGGTGGGATACATCAATGGCTAGAGGCATTATCAGACATGACCCATTTGCGCCCTCAATGGCGCATATGCATCCAAGCTGTTTTTTTGTACATAGCTTCTGTTATCGATCTTCCCGAAAGAAAGTTCACTGACACCCCTGTATTGGTGTATCAGTTGTAGCAGCTACAGCCTCCTATGTGTAACTATCCATCCTTGCCTACTCAGATCATGAGTGAACGAAACTGTGGCAGCTATAACCACCGCACAACAAGTACTCTGTTTTTGAAGTATTGCTGCTGCTGCTTTTGATGACTGGATTCCTATTGAGTTTTTTTCTCATTCGAAATTGCTTTTGTAAAACAGGAATGGTGGAATAATAGAGATTCGTTGTTTTTATTCATTACTTATACATGGTTTTCGGGTTATTTCGGGTCAGAAAAACTGCAGGTGTGATGATACGTGGTACGCTAAGTGAGGTACAGCAAACCCGAGACCACCGCTCTAGTTGTTTATGGTGACCGTCACGTACAGCGGCAGATCGGCTTGGTTGCAATTGTCATCGTCAGCTACAAATTGTATGGAATGGTAAATGGCATAGCTGTCCCGTTGTTTCTACCATATCTTGTGTAACGTTTTTTTAAAATATCAAGCAGTTTCTGGGACAACTTCCGCTTTGAATGTTAAAGTCACGAGTTTCGCACTTCTTATTATAAAGTGGTAGGGGCGACCATCCATCTATTGCCTTTTATTCCCGCTAGCGTTTATACCATTTGTTACGGGGTCAAAGTGAAAATACGAAAAAAATCGACCGTTGAGTGATCCTTCAGGCATTCATCCGCATTCTCTCAATCTACCCCCCTCAAAACTGTCACAAGTCCTGCATCGAGACGTATAGTTTTTAAAATGTATGAAATTCTTAGACGACATTTCCATCCGCCATAGCAGGTTTTGTGTACCTGCCTCACCTGTGGCATAGGCGTGACATCAGCTTATGTATGAAGGGTCGAGCTTACAATATTGTGATTCGCTCCTTATTATTATACCGGTCAGAAACCTGGACGCTACGCGCTGAGGACGTCAAAAGATTTTCACTGTTTGACCATCGATGTCTTTGGAGTATTGCCCGAGTCTGGTGGGAACACCGGATCAGCAATGCTGACGGATGGGTTTCCGAAGATATAACTGGCCCACGACAGATGAACTGATCACACTGCATAGGTTGCGTTGGCTTGGCCACGTGTTCCGTATGCCAGTCGACCAACTTCCTCGTACAAGCGCCGAAGGGTCAAAGAGCTAGGGGAGGTCAGACAATGACTTGGCGTCAAAGTGTGTAGGCCATTACTAGCAAACTCAGTCGCACTGGTCATTGCCATCTCCCTGGATGGGGACCCCGAGGTGGGATACATCAATGGCTAGAGGCATTATCAGACATGACCCATTTGCGCCCTCAATGGCGCATATGCATCCAAGCTGTTTTTTTGTACATAGCTTCTGTTATCGATCTTCCCGAAAGAAAGTTCACTGACACCCCTGTATTGGTGTATCAGTTGTAGCAGCTACAGCCTCCTATGTGTAACTATCCATCCTTGCCTACTCAGATCATGAGTGAACGAAACTGTGGCAGCTATAACCACCGCACAACAAGTACTCTGTTTTTGAAGTATTGCTGCTGCTGCTTTTGATGACTGGATTCCTATTGAGTTTTTTTCTCATTCGAAATTGCTTTTGTAAAACAGGAATGGTGGAATAATAGAGATTCGTTGTTTTTATTCATTACTTATACATGGTTTTCGGGTTATTTCGGGTCAGAAAAACTGCAGGTGTGATGATACGTGGTACGCTAAGTGAGGTACAGCAAACCCGAGACCACCGCTCTAGTTGTTTATGGTGACCGTCACATGGGGTTCTTGCTGATCCGTTTACGTGTATCAGGACCCGCTACGTAGTGAAGTCGATAGATGCTACCTTGGTACCACTCAGACCACATCACATTGGACTTGAGGACATCATTCACCATGGGCATTTAAATTCTTGGAACAAACGAAGAAGAAGACAACTATCCCCAATGTTCAAATGGCTTGTTTACGAATACCGCATCCAACTATATATTTATTCGGTTCAGCCGCTACAACCCAGGTGCCCTTTTTCACCTTTCGGTCCTCCGTCACATCATCCGTGCACC